TTAGAACTGTCTATAAAAAAAATCCCATTTCAAAGAAAAGCATTATTATTGTTGGATTTGAACTGTGAATGGAGACAATGTAAACAAGATCCAAGAACAATTGCTGGAGAATGTTGTTGGTTTCTCATCACAGCTAGGTAATCTCATGTGCAATTCCACCTTGACTATTCAAAGTATCTGTTATGTCATCAGTATGCTTGTCATAACAATACAAGATCAAAATATTCATATCCAGAACTTCTTTATGTATTGGTCATCACAAATACTCAAGCTATTTTCGGCAGCAACATCATTAAGAATGAACCACATTTTCAGTCCAGTTACATATAAACTGGCAAAGGGCAAAATGCTTTTTGCTAACAACATCTTTAAAGTGGGCACCCATTTTTAAAGAGGTGCATTCATCAAATGCCCTTCATTCTCCTTCCCTTTCAGCTCAATTTGGGGTTGTAGTCCTGTATTTCTCATTTGCTACTCCTTCTGATCAGCTCTATACTGATAGCTTCCCATTGGTGTTTTTAAAGTTTCTCAGTCCATTACCCGATCCACCTGACCCTTAGAAGATTAAGAGCTCATTAAATGGTAGAAAGTTCCTATGAGATTTTGTTCAGCTGGAGAACTAAGCCTCATCTAGAGAAGGAAAACACCGTGACATTTGACTTTTACGGCTAAGACCTGAAATCCCTGAGGTTCTGCCCCTTTGGCAGTACATGGCAGAGCTGTTTCAGAGACAAAGTCCAGTGGAAACAGAGAACTCAACTGCAAGGTCATCTGCACAGCCAGACCCACCAAAAAAACCAGCTGATCCTGAAAGGTCGTAGCATTCCCAAGTTTGGGCAATCTGCAACACATGGCGGAGATCAATCCAGACACCAACATATTAGATGACTCTGCAAGTGGAATTCTTTGAGAAATGGGTTTGTTGGAACCTTGAGAAAACTAATACATTTCCACAAAGCATTTATGTTGCAGTGAACTGGAATTTGCTAACAGGAAGAGCAAGTGGCTATTTTAGGAACTTCATATCCCTAATGCGTTATGACTATTTTACTACTACAGCAAATTTCAGTTTCTTGCCATCCTATTGCCTATTACAGCTAGACATCAATGATTTGGTTTTCAGTGTTTTGGATTTTTTTAAGAAGAAAGAAAAATAAAAGCAAACTAGAAAGTATTAATTCTGGGAAAGGGGACAGACAGAGTTCATTATCATTTAGCATACATATTGTATATTATTTTACTCATCTGAATCCACATCACAGCCGTAGCATTGCTGCTAGCAGAAAGTAAACTTCAAGTAAGAGTTGTGTTTCTGTTTGTAATTAAACACTGCAACTGCATAGTGGTTTATCAGATATTTTTCCTTTTCTCTTATCTTGAAAATGGTAACAGCCCAAACTAATTTGATTTTTTCATAGTTGCAAATTTTATAATAGACTGAAATCCTGAGGGATTCTACAGCAGATGGATGACTGTGTTATTCTGATTACAACTACCTACGGGTTTAGAAAGCTGTCATTTTTTAAGATAATCAATTTCTCATTTCAAGAAACATGATAAACACTGAGTATCTATGTATTGTACTGAATCCACTCTCACGAAAATTGTGGCTTCTCTTCATTAAAATTAAACAACTATTAGAAACTGTTTTTCAGTTCCTCAGACCTGAATTTATTCAAGAGAATGGTGGACACACGCAATTGCCAAGTGCAAGTTTGGCTTACTTAGATGTGCAGCTAGAAAGATGCATCTGGAATATAGTTTACCTTCTAACAACTCATTAGCTTTACCTAATTCAGAAAAATGTCTCTACTGTAACAGCAGTTTTAGGATTTAGCTTAGATAGCACTTAAACACACGTATATGGAAAAGATACTGTGAAATAACATGGCATTCAGTAAGTAATTGTTCTCCTTGGAGAAATTCCAACCCTTCGCACTCATCAGCAGAAAACCCTGGGAAATGTATACAAATCTGATCAATCATTATTCAATCTGTGAGAAACCTAATTTTAAGTAAATACGGTCTGATAAAGATTTGAGTGTGTTTTGTTTGTCCCTTCTTACAAACATAGGAAGTGTAATACAGACTTGGGTTCTCAAAGCGCATTCTCTATCTTCATAGGCATGCCACACTGTATGTTTTATGATGTAAAAAAGAACCTGAAATGAGTGTAAATTTAGCTATATGACTGATTCTTACAGTCAAGCCCTTTTACTGTTCCAGAGTGAAGTATGATCATAGATTCAATTTTAGAGCCAGATTTTTCAGTTTCATGTCAATCACGATGAATTTATTGGTCTAAACTAGTTTCCCTGAACAACACTCATTGCTACACCTGTCTGAAAAAGGTGCTATGAAATTTTAGTAACTTTTCCTATAAAACTTAAAAGAAACCCTTGATGAAACATATGCTGTTCGCCTGAGCAACACTCTTTCCTCTCTGTGATAATGGTACTGCTGACAGGGAAAGAAAGCATTAAGACACCACCAGCCCTTTGCCGACTTTTCACATCAGTTTCTTACCACCAGACTACTGACTGTCCCTGAGAAGGCTTCTCACTCTCCCATTTCCAAGCTTGTCTTCATTAAAGCACATGGAATAGCAAAAGCATTTGCAAATGAAAAATGTTCATCAGCCAACCCTTTAAATTTTGGAGCTTTTATTTGAGAATTGAACAGGCAAACTTATCCAGAATTAACGTCCAATAGTGCCTGTATAAGACTGAATGAAAAAAACATTCAGAAAATACAAAAAGGAATGTCATACAGACTGGGTTGGTTTATCATGGAAAGAAAATCTGTCAAGCTCAAGAAAATCAAGAATTGAGGCTTTTACTATGTTATCTTTGTTTTGTTTCTGTACCTATTCTTTGGGATTTTCCACTCTAAAAAAATAATTTAATGTATGCAATTGTCACAGGATTTTCAAAACTGGTGTTTCTTCACAGTTGGGATTAAATTTTAGATAATTAATGTAGCCTTGTTTCTTTTCCCAGTTTATGTACTGAGCATGACATCACATGGTATGGAATGTTCCTTTGGCCAGTTTGGCTGTGCCCCCTCCCAGCTTCTTGTGCACCTCCAGCCTTCTCAGTCGGTAGAGCATGGAAAACTAAAAAGTCCTTGACTAGTGTAAGCACTGCTTAGCAACAACTAAAACATCGGTGTGTTATCAACATTGTTCTGGTCCTAAATCCAAAACACAGCACTGTACCAGCTACTAAGAAGGAAATTAACTCTATCCCTGCCGAAACCAGGACACACCTCCACCTAATCAATAGTCCATGGTGGAATCAATGAAGTAGAAGATCCAGGTTCAACCTTCCTGAAGTTGTTTTAAATCCTAGCTTTGAACAAAACATCGAGAAGAGTGGATTGAAACTAAGGTATTCAACATCTAAGTGAACAGAGTATGGACAACTGCTTTCCTTCATTACAGTTCTTCCACACTAGATGGAAGCACTTAGCTGTTATGATTAAGACACAGCAGGATGCTGTCATTGCTGGGCAAGGCATCCGCTTGGAGGTTGCACAGTTAGATGTCTGTTCCTCCACTAGTTAGTTTTTGCTTTATTCAGACCAAGGGGGTTTTCCTGTTTTTCTAACAGAAAACACTAAGATAACCTTGAAAAGTTAGGTCTGCGGGCTATACTGTTCTCCAAAGAAATGCGAGATAGGCATTCCCCAAGACAGAAAAGAAAACTACACCTGGGCCTCCCATATCATTGGAGAATGTGTGATACTTGGAACTGCAACCTAAAAAGAGGGATGTACAGAGAGGAGCAAGAGGGGCAGTCTAGTTGTCAAATAAATCATTTACATCATAAAGTGATTATGTGGGCTTTTAAAGGAACCATCAAAATCCTAACTTGAATTGGGAAGTGTCAGAAATATGTAAATAGCAAGTCTTAGGAGTCCATGAAAAGATTTTTATTGCTCATTATGCCTCCTGAGAAGTTGAAAAGTAAATGACAAACTAATGCAGGACAACAAAAAACCCTTTAGGGATCTTTTAAGGAAAAATAAAATAGTGACAGAAAGAACTGTCGCTTCAGCAACTCTGTTCGTTAAGCAAAGAGAGAGATTCTCAAATAAAATTAAGAGTATTCCATTAGCAAGCTTTCAGAAGGTAAAGGCCACTACATAAAAGAAAGAGGTCCTCAAAATTACTAAAGGGGTTTTATGCTTTGAAACTTCAAAGGCAAGTCTGAAGTCTCCAAGGACACTATATTCGCATCCTATGGATGTGAGAATAAAGTATCAATATAAATAACAGACTCTCCCCAAAGCAGGCTTGGTTCTCCAGAGTTAGTGGCATAATAAGTGCTCTAAATGAGTGAACTACAACCTAAGAGAAAAGTCCTAGACAGATAGTAAAGAATGAAAGTGCATTTTCCGGCAGATATTAACAATGCTTCTAAATCTTCTAATTTTGCAAGTGCTTCAAAATATTAAAATGTATTACTTTACACTCAGAATAAATTAACTTTATCATTCATCCTTTATTCTTGGCTGTAAGCATGACATCTGTATAAAAATAACACTCAGATTACTCTGCCAACAATAGCAATTCTTTAATACATATCCTTTACTGCAATATAAATTGCGTACCTTTGTGTTGATTATATATTATGGGGCTCTCAGATGGTGAGCCAGATTGCTTACACCATCTTAAATGTTCATGCCACCACCTTTGCAAATCATTCTATAATAGGTGTCAACAAATACTTTGAATCATACCCTCACCTGTTCTGCATCTCCATCTTTCCATTACACGTACAGAAATGTGAAAGCCCATCACTAATAATTATCTGTACTGTTTACTCAAGCACATCATCTTTTGCTCCAAAGTGAGGTATTTCCCACCAGTTAAGTAATGAATTTCTGAGCTGTTAAAGAACATTTTAAACAACCCCCAAAATGCTACAGATACATTCAAAAGGAAAGTAATTTAAATATGAGGAGGCTGCATGGCAATAAATTATTAGGAAACTGACCTTTATAGTTTCCTGTGCTGAAGTAACAATCCAATCGGCTTTCAGAAAGATGTGACACGAACTTTTCCATTAATTCTGCCAAAACTGCAAAAAGTAAAAAGCCATTAAAACATTAGAGGCAATAATAAAATGTGGAACTACATTACCTAACAAAATGACAATATGTGAGAAACTAAAGCTATTTGAATTCCTGCACGTTTATTCATGGTTTTATGGGGGAACAATTCAAAGCGTGCATTGCGCTTTTGCATTCCTAACACCATTCCTAACTTAAATTAAATTTTAATAGCTTTACTGAGAATAGATTCAGTGTAAACGGAAAGAGAATCCCGTATTATCTTTATATCCTCCAAGGATTACTTCACAATTTGTTACACGGTTTCAATATGAAATGAAAATTAACTACCATTAAACTACAATACCTTACCACATTTGTCTGTGTATGTAGACAGGAAAGAAAAAAAAACCCAAAAGCAAAAAACAAAACAAAACAAAAACCAACAACCCACACACAACAAAAAACCCACACCACCCAAAATGATGCTAACAAAAGTAAATGAAGTTTTAAGTGCTGTTTCAAAAAAAAAAAAAAAACGATATAAAACCACCTATGCCATCACAAGATAAAAATTATTCACTTTAAATTAAGCAATAGAACCATTTCCTTTGGGAAATTCTGTATTTTATGATTAGGAGCATTTCCTTTGGGAAATTCTGTATTTTATGATGACCATAATGTTCTTATTCAGTTCTTGCCACGGAACTTTGAGTCTGCAGACACTGCACAGATAAATCAGATGCTGACATCTGGTCACTATGTAGGGAATTGTATCTCCCACCTTAACAGGATGTTAGCCAGGAAGTTAGCGAGAACTCTCAATGACAAATCATTAGCAAAAACTGTTACCGATTCCTCAATTCTGCAAGTTTGAGGCTACTGCAACTGAGCACACTGCCACCTTACAGGTTTAAACAAAGGATACAAGGAAGCCTTTACGCATGCTGCACAGAGTAAGCCCATATTGAGATAAGCCATATTAAGAATTTAAGATAGCAACAATGAACATTTTTTAGAAGTAAATGCTATCCCAAAACAGCTGCTGTTGTCATGATAAACAGGATTTAAAGAACAGTGATATAACCTTCTTTTCACAATAACACAAAGCAAGGGATTGTATTTAGAGAGTAACAAGTGCTGCTACCCATGGGATTTCCTGTTTTAAGGCTGCATGTTACCATTTCCTTGGCAGCACCTCGATTTAGTAACACTAAAGCTTCAGGCCCTGGTCCCCCATTCCTGCACAGAACTCCATGCACCCACAGGTGGTTTTGCTGGTTTTAGACCAAATAATTCCACTCCACCACTTTAGCGGGTAGCTGTACGAACAGTTGTAGCAGCACAAATAAGGCATAATCATCTGTGGTGGAGGTGGCAATGGAGAAAGCTAGAAAACTCTTGAACCGGCCTTGCTGACAGGAAAACTAACACAGGAGACGGCAGTGCAAGCTCTTTCGTGCGTGAGGAGGAGGAGGAAGAAGACAGAACCTCCACCCACAGTCTGATGCTTGTTATGCCAGAAAAATAATGAAGAAAAAGATATCATAAAGACAATTAACTCTTCTTCCAACCTTTTAAGCTAATATACTGACATTACATAATGATTTTTTTTTTTTCTTGATTAGTTGTCTAGAACATTTACAGAAATTCATTTACACTGAATGAGTCCAGAAGAAGTTTTTAAAAGGTTGAGTTTTGGTAATACTATGTTGATGGGTAGGGCAAAAGGGAAAAGAAGTTTCACTACAACAGCTAAACATGGATTTACAGTTAGAGTAGCCAACTCAAACAGTAACAAAATTAATTTTGTATTGCAAAGGACTACTAAATCAAAACAAAAAAATTACATGTGTAATTTATATTCTTATGCATTTTTATGGAGAGAAGAAACTGCTAATTAAACATAATATAGCTATTTTTAATCATGGTTAATAAACCACATGGGGCTAGCAAAAAGCAATTTATTTTATAGAAGAGTAACAGTTTATTCATTTTGTGAGAATAAACAGAATAAACAATCTCACTAATCTTCTCTAATATGCTTAGTGGAATTTGGTCCACAAACAATATAAGAAATATTTGTGTAAAATGAGAAAAGGTGTCTATACCTGGAGCTGTAGATAGCAAAAAGCAGAAATTAAACTTAAAATTTGTTACTAGCTAGATGTTTACTGTATGACTACTATTATTAATATTGTGATTACTGAAATATGCCATGCTGTAATAACAAACAGGAACTATGTTAAAAACACTAAAATACCACATAATTCAGAAAATTTAAAACCAAGTCAGAACATTGTACATTTCTTTCCTTTTTGTTGGAAGGCATCCACATGCTTGATCTAGCAGTCGAATATTTCAGTTCAGTGCTTGAGTTAATGGGAGAAATGACAGCTCAACTGCTAAGCAATTTTTTGAAACTCAAGCACTAAATTGATTTCCACCATTTGAAAGTATTTATCTAAGTGCCTATCAGGATCTTTGAAAGTTTTTAATCAAGTTTGAGAGAGGAAGACATACATAAGAGTTTATCAACACAAATTTGGTTAATACACAAATAGAGGGTTTTCACAGGATGTTGTCTCTTCCAAAAGAATGTCCATGTGAAATGACAAGTAGTTATTTTAAATTTTGTCTTTTAATACTAAATCATTTAGCTGCCATGTGGACACTCCCTGAAAATCTTTATAAAAGTGGAAACTGGCTCAGTGATTTTTCCTTTAACTGGAAAAGTGGACAAAAGAAATTTAGGAAATTTCATTGCATAGCCCAGCCGGTATTGTTGTGAAAGCCCACATTCTCATGCAGAGGTTATGTTCAGAGATAGAGATTAGTGTTGTGGCCTACCAACTCAGTGAAAATGTTCATTTTCTTAAATAATGGTAGCTTGGCTGTATTAACATTGAAGTTTTTAAGAGACTGGCAATTACCTCATGCAAATTTAATCCACACATCCAAAATAAAGAGAATTTAAATTTAGGAGTGTGTAAACATATACAAAGTAAATGAAAGGGTTTTAAAATTCCCTAAACGATTGCGGTATGCTCATAAAACAGCTGAATTCCTGCAGGACTTTTTGGGGTTTTTTCCTTGAAGAACTAATGTACAAAAGGAAAGTAATTGAAATGGCTTCTAAACTGCATAAGAACACTGATTAAAAAAATTCATGTGATTAAAACTGTTTTAATAGGTAACCACCATGAGAGGTTATCTAATTCCTACTCTGAAAGGTTTAAGAAAAAAAGGTCAAAAACGGTGAAAAGCATCAGATTTTTTTAGATCCTCTAATATAACTAGTGTTACTGGATCATATTCTATACCAACTCACAGATGCTTCAGAGGAGTTTAAAAGAAAAAGAACTTTCTTAAGAGTAGTCCTACTTGCCTTGTGTTAGAGGTTAAAAATTCAAGAGTGAAAACGTGGGACAGCCGACGACTTTGTAAGAGTAGTGTCAAAAATTTTCAACTTCATCAACCATATTTCAGTTTAATAATCTATGAAAAACACAGTTGGCAATTCCCTTCTTAATGGCAACAATAAGGAGGACTTTTTTGAATTCCTAAGATACTGGGAGAGACTTTCAATTATTGTACATTGAAATGGCAAAGGAACAACCTGCATTTTCTTTGAAAAGAAAAAAACAAGATAATAGAAATTGGACAGTGCTTCCATTAGAGATGAAGGTTGCTTATTTATACCAATATACAAGTATCTTCTTTATTAATGCCTTTCAAATCCTAATCAAATGTCCTAATCTTCACACACATGCATGCACGTTCTCATGCACTCACACTGCTTACAGGATATTCCTTTGGAAGTTGCTGCAAACTGGTTTGGGGGATAGATTAAAAGTTTTGATCTGCAATTGTTCTTCCCGCGTAACACAAAAGACCCACTGTTCCACTCTAGTTCTGAAACAAGCCTCCTCAAAAAATTAAGTAAGGACATAAAAAGGTAAACATCTTTTTTGTATTATTCTAAAAACCTCTTTCGCAAATGAAGTATTTTTAAATTGGTCATATTAAAAAATGAGAGCAGACCACATGCAGAATCTAGATCTAATTGAGTGATCTTCGAGGCAGAAGATTTGGTCCACATTTAAAAAGATCAAATTGAGCTTAGAGAATCTATGTTCTTCTTGCAGAGAAGAATAGGCTCCTCTGAGGATCAATTCAGAATGGAAATCTAACGCAGTTACCCTGATTTGTCTTTCTGAAATCACAGCCTAGAGAATTCTCTCTCACACACTTAACAAGAGAGCCTATGGAAGACTACTACGCAAGACTAAAGTTAGTCAAACCTTCTTTAGCTGGACCTAATGGAGACTGAAATTTAAATAATTTTCTCCTTAAAAGAAGGAACAACATGCCAGTAACAGCTCTAAAAATGTAGTATTTCATTGTCTTTGAATCCAGAAGAGCCTTTTCAATAAAAACTAAAGTCCCTATTATCTATACTTCTGTATACAAGCAGAGTGGTGACAACTGAGATACCCTCCTTGTTGAGATTCTAGTAGCTGTAATGTATACCTTGATATAAGATACATTTACAATGCCTTACTAGGCTATTTTGATAAACTGCCAAAGTTTAGCATTTTGGTGTCCTGAATAAAAAAAACCCACAACCACACACAACAGTCATACCTACTGAAAATAGCCATCTTTTTGGTTCTTCATCCCATGGGGAAAGTTCTGCAATTACTTTCAACTTTTTGCAGCAATTGCTAAAGGCTGTAGCACCCAAACGTCACAATGACATTGCCTCAAAGGATCATAGTATTTTTCATCAGCATGTTTTGACAGAGCTACCTCAGATGATGCAGAGCTCACAAAGCACTAATAGATCGCAGAACACTGTGTTGATCATAACCGTTTTGCTTTCATCAACCATTCCGCTTGTAAAAAATGAAGAAAAATCCTGTGTTTTCCAGTAAGATCTCATGAGCAATTTCAAGAGCTGCGATGTTTTTCATATCTTTGAAGTCATCAATAGTTGCTGAGACTAAAAGAGTAACTGCCTGAAGATGAAAATTACCTTAAAAAAGAAATATGCCTCCCACATGTATTTGTTTGTTTGTTTAAGAGAGAACATTTTGGAGGTAAATTAATAGGCCCGAAAGAATATTGGTAATCTAAGTGCAGATTCCTGAGAGAGATATGCCATGGAAACTCTGAATGACTCCATGGAACAAGTCACTTTAGCTGAGTTTACTACTCCTATCCATATCCACAGATGGATATAAAGCTTGAAGAGAACGATTAGGATTTGGGGACTGATTACCTCTCAATTATGAAGGGAAGAATGTTAGCATATGATTATATGATCTCTGCAACACCCTCAATTTCTGTTACTTAGAGTTTAAAGTCTCCTAAAAGAGGAGAGGATTAAAGGCATTGAATCTGCCCAGACAGGAAAGAGATCAGCTGCTGACACAACACTAACTAGGAACAGATAAAAAAGGAGTTGCTGGGTCTGAAAACAACAGAAATGCCTTCTGCAAAACCTGAAGGATGAGAAGGAGGAAACAACGGAAAAAGGCATGGATGAAACAGTCAAGCCAAGATCACTGGTTCAAAAAAAATACCTCTCATTCATGTGCATGATTTGAACATGCAATATACTAAGCCTAGATCAACAAAGCCCAATAATTTTCTACATAAACCTAAGCTATTTCTCAGAGGAGTTGATTTGCCTGTTTCTCTTCCTGCCAAAGCCTAGATGCCAACACACAGAAAGCTCTTATCTAGATGTACTAAAGATGCTTCAGGGAGGCCACAAGCATTGCAAAGAGTAATCCAAAAGAGGCCAAGACTTAACCTGACCAAGGGCTCTATCCGTGGTTCTCTAGCTGATCAAAGTGACGCAAAGACATATGCAAAGACACTCAACAACAAGGAGCTATATCCCTAGCATCCACAATTCTGTGGCACCTTTATAGAAGGAATGACTAGAAGAATGCCTTTGTCTTAGCTTATTGTGCTTAGAGCAATAGAATGTAGAAGCTGGTTGTCTACAATATGATTTGTTTTAGATGACCAAGAAAAATCCCACACTTTCAGTCCTGCCACACTAAAAGACATACAAGCCTGAGGAGCGTTGATCTGCTCGAGGGTAGGAAGGCTCTGCAGAGGGACCTGGACAGGCTGGATCGATGGGCCCAGACCAACTGTATGAGGTTCAACAAGGCCAAGTGCCGGGTCCTGCACTTCGGCCACAACAACCCCATGCAGCGCTACAGGCTTGGGGAAGAGTGGCTGGAAAGCTGCCCAGCAGAGAAGGACCTGGGGGTGTTGGTGGACAGCCGGCTGAACATGAGCCGGCAGTGTGCCCAGGTGGCCAAGAAGGCCAATGGCATCCTGGCCTGTATCAGAACTAGTGTG